ATGTATCTGGTTTACATGGTGCACGTGTATGATTCTGTTGGGAGATTCCTTCATTCATTTTCTAGTTATCAAGATTACCATTTTTTGCTTTGTAGGCTGAGGCAGAACTTATTTCTTCCATTGTCAATTTCTTCAAAAGAATTGGAATCACGGAATCAGATGTTGGCTTTAGGGTTTCAAGGGGAAAGGTGTGCTCTTGCATGAGGTCTTTCATGACTTTCTTGAATACATTCATTGTTACAGTTGCAAAAGCAATATTCTATTGGCACTTTCTTCCATGCAGTATGTTTTACTTTCTATGAAAGTGCAAAATGTACACACTGTTATTATATCTTGTGAGATTGCAATTCATATCTACTTCACAGGTCTTGCAAGAAGTATTTAGATGCTACTCAGTACCTGAAAATTTGTTTGGCGAGGTTTGCATCATTATAGACAAGGTTAGTTGATTAAAGTTTAGTATTTATGATTTCTATAGTACTGAGTTTTATTCTCTTAGTCATGTACTAGCTTTCTGAAACTGTTAACACAATTTGGTCTTTGGGTTATATTTTTTTGTTTAAACTTGAAAGGAAAATTGCAATGGCTGGATGTACTTATTCTCCTTTTATTCTTTATTTGCACACTTGTTAATTGATTAATTTAGTTTTGTTGTTCTTGAAATAGATTGAAAAGATTCTTGTAGATGAGATTAAGAGGGAGTTGAATGCTACCGGGTTATTGGAAGAGGCTATTGAGGAACTATTGCAAGTCCTTTCCATGAAGTCATTGACAAAGTTGGAAGGTTTGTTTTTCCACAAGTTATTTTATATTATTTTCTTTCGTCAAAGGAAAAGTTAGGTGCCTCCTCTCTTCCATCCAAAGGGAAGAAAAGGAAAGAAAGAAAGGGTAGGGTAAAAAGTCAACTAGTCACAGGCTACCCTAGATGAAGGCAGTTTAAACAAATGTCATTTCCAGCTTTCAGCTTTTTCTCCACCTCATATCTGGTTGGATTATCGGCTAAAGGGTCTAGTAGACCTTTTATATGTATCACTCATGAACTTACTTTGACGAAATCTGTTCTTGGGGGGTTGGGCTACCTTCAGTGTTTCTAATTTTGAAAAAGATTTGGATAACCAATAGGACAAAATGTAAAAAAGTATCACCATCTCAAACAAAGAGAGAAAAAGAATAATGGCTGCCCAATGTTCAGTTTTCTTGAGATTGTAGCAGATATTTGAAATTAAATCATGCCTTCAGATTCCCTCAAACAAGTTTCTATGTCCATGTTAAAAGCTTCAAATGGGAATCTGACTGTAAATCATTCAGCTTTTCTTGAGATATGTGATAACCATTTGTGGATAATTTACTGTAAATAGTTGTGTTTTCCATAAGAAGATAATAGCTTTAATCTTAGTTGTGTGTGCCATATTCTTTTCTAAATGTAGAGATACTTGGAGATGCTGGGGATGCTATTGCTGACTTGAAACAAATGTTCTCACTTGCTGAGAAGTTTGGTTACTCCTAGTGAATTCAGTTTGATGCATCAGTTGTTCGTGGTCTTGCCTACTACACTGGTATTGTTTTTGAGGTTAGATTTATGATATAGTTTTTCCTCCATTGATACAGACTGTGGGCACTTGCACATGAAACTGAATTTAAAAGGACCATTCATGTTTAGTTCTCCAGTGCCTATTTGTGTGGGTCTGATGAAACTTTTTCTATGGCAATATGTTCTTACTGCTAATAAACTACATTGGTTTGACTTTTATGGAGGTTAGGCCGGTAGCATATTTCTCTAAGGGCATGACATCTTCTGACACATTGGAGATTTTGATGGAATATGAGTAGACATGTAATTGTTCTTTATAATTGGCAGTGTAAATATGAACTATAACGTTATGATCATAGGGCTGCACCCTGCCCTTGAAAGAAATTATATCCAAACTTCACTGCTTCCATCAATAGCATTAGGTCTGCCTATGAGTATATGAGATGTTCATTTGCCAGTGGCCTGTGTTGTGGGGCATAAGCACAGAAAGACTCTTGTGGTATTACTCTGAAAAATCATTTAGTTATTTGGTGAAAATTGTCTATGCTTGTTACTGACTTTAATATAGATTTCTCTGTTTTCTTTCCACCTTTTGAACTTTCAGTATGATGAAAATTTTTCTCAGGGTTTTGATAGAGATGGAAAGATGAGAGCTATTTGTGGTGGTGGGCAATATGATCGATTACTTTCTACTTTTGGTGGGGATGGTGTTCCAGCTTGTGGCTTTGCGTTTGGTGATGCTGTTATTGTTGAAGTCAGTTAAATCCTGGAAATAATAATTCTATTCTTGATTATTTTCTTGTGCACTCATAATTAAGTCGTATGCAAACAGATTGATAGGTTAAATATCAGTCAATTATGGATCATTATGTTATGATAGGTCATGTTATTCATGTGTTATTTTGCTAACATATTCCAGCCACTCTCATTTCCTCATTTGACAACTTTATTCTCTTTACTGTCTATGGTTAATTTGCTTTGATATTTCTTTAATTTATACTCGTTTGGCCTTTCGGATATCATTCTATCATGTGCATGCGGCTCTTGGGGCATGTATGGGGATTGTGGTTCAAAAGTTGCTCAAGGAAAAGGGACTCCTACCGGAAGTTAGCCTTGAAGTAGACAACACTGTTTGTGCTCTGATTCATGATCTTCAAGGATTAGCTGCTATAGTTGCTATTAAACTCACTGAGAAAGGCCACAGTGTTGACTTAGTCTTGGAGATTAAACCACTTAAATGGTACTAATGCCAGTGATGTCCTTTAAGATACTAAACCTCAACTTCTTGATCGATTTCTTTCATGTTTTGACTTTTGAGTAATCATTATTTTGATTTCGTTCTCTTTTAGGGTGTTCAAACAAGCTGCACGGACAAATGCACAAAGATTAATATCGGTAGGAAATATTGAGTGGCACAAGGGGAATGGTTTGTGTAAAAATCCTTTCTTCTGGTGAAGAATATGAGATTAAACTGGATGAACTAGAGTGAAAAGTATGGCTTATGTTGCATTACTTTTTATGATGCTTATGCTTAATGGACATGTCTCATTTTTGTCAATTCAATTATTTTTCTCCTCTATGTGCTCGAGTGCTGTGTGTATTTTAAGATATTAATAAAATCTGTTTATTTAGAAATGGTGAAATTAGGGGCTTTGACTAGATCTATAAAAATAAACTTTAGGAAGCACAGATTTTGAGTTTAGACAAAATACATCTTGACATAGCTTCCTGCTAGTATATGTTACACGGTTACAAGGTTAGTTATGTCTATCTTTAGGCATATATACAATTTTCCCATGTGTGATGCATTAATTTTATCATCTAGTTGATCTAATATTTACTTATATTAACTTATAAGCAGCATTCCATGGATATATTCCTAGAAGGGTGAAATTTAAAACTTGACATGGTGCTGTTACAGTTACCTTGTGCTGCAGACTGCATTAAGAATGGTAATGGTGGCTGGAATGTAAATGGCTATTGGCTTTGTGAGCTGCACTTATGGATCCGGAACGGTGTCTGGGATATCTATGCTGTGAGAGAAAGAGAAGAAAGTGACCAAATGTACGATGTGCGATTATCTTCCTTACGGGGAAGAATGCATATATGAGATGAAGGTTTTTAAAGATAGATACTCTCTTACATCATTATTGAGTTGGTATTGGAGATATTGTTGCTTGGAATTTAAGTTAATTTAGTTGGTTGCCTAGAGAAAAATGGTGGATCGGTAACTCATTTCACAACAGATAATATCTTTGCTCTTCTTCATGAAGAGATTGGCTGGGCCGATTGACCAACAATGCTCTTGATATTGATATGCTTTGAAAGTGCTTGGAAGTTCATTTCTGTCCTACCTATGTTGTGGAGAAATTTAGACGATATATAAAGAGTATATTAGGGAATGTGGATTAAAACAAGGAAATGGGAGGTTGTAGTTTCAGAATCCAGGGTGAATAATGCAGGAAGAGGATTCACTTGGGATACGAAGACAAATTTACATCCCCTAAGACTAGCTCTCGCAGCAAGATCCATGTGCTCCACCGTGGTTCGATCCTTCCATCCACTGGCCACATTAATCACTTGAATCCGCCAAACATCCACAGTCCCTGTAAATATTATATATCATTGAACATTGGTCAAGTAAATTATGGTATCTGCATAGCCAAATGTGATTTTTAAACCCAACTTAGTGTTCTCTAAAAGAAATGGAACAGTCCCTCAAAGAAAATCCTAGCAATCGACAGATTAATTATATTTGTTTGATTTAATACTAAGCCACGACTCATCAAATTCAATGGTCTAATACACAATATATGAACAAACACTATATAAAGTACTTAATCCAGATTCAATTTTACAATAATACAATTGAGTAGGAATCATGATTTTTAAGGACCATTTTTCCAATGTCGGGTGGCAGCTTGTAGTAATTGAATTGATAGAACAGTTGCCAAACAAAAGACTGACCCACTTCCAACATTCAGGTCAGGCGAGGAAAAGCAAAGCAGGGAGAAGCTTCAGATTTTCACGCCTGTCTTGATTTCTTGTGAAATTAATAATGGGGAATGAAAATCCTGTTGCCCCACTTTCAAGTTTCAATCATGGTTAGTCCGTAGGGTAAAGCACTCTCTGTTTCAGTATTCCAAGCCTTTTTCAGCACTATGCTTTTCGTGAAGTCGAAGTTTCCTACAACTTTTGATGATGAACCAGGTAGTGAATCAAAGACCCGAGTTAAGAACGATTCCAATTTTTGTTGATTTCATGAAATAATTACCCTCTACATTCAATCCAACTAGTAAGCATTACATTATATCAATTAAAATTTTATACATATCTATATGTATATATCTTTTTTTTAAAATAGTTACTAACTTCAGTAGCTTTGGATTCAAATTCTTTCAACAGAACAATAATTGGAGGCTATTGAATTAGGTAAACTTACTAATAACAACTTTGATTTTGGTTGTTGTAGTGCAACAATTTCAGTTGGCAGAAGTAAACCTGGCTATACCTATCCTTAAACCGAAAATTTGGGCCCTGTGGACCAGTCCATTCCCTTTATGCCCTACCCAATCACTAATTGCAAAAAATGTATAAAGCTAACAACAAAAACACCAATCAAACCCTCGCAAAAATAAAATTTCCCTCTTTTCCACATCCTTCGCAGCTTTTGGAGCCTTGAAGCCCCCGTTGGTTCCATTCCCCATTCCATGATAAAAACCCATCTTTCCTCACTTTCAAAGTTCAGTTTTCATTTTACCTTTTTGTTTTCTTACAGGAATAGAATCAAACAGATAGAAATAATATTCTTTTTTTATTTTGTTCCAAGCTATTACTGGTTATGCTCATTAACTTCGCTTCATGTCCAGTACCCACTTTTCATTAAGGTCAGTTCTCTTCTGGGTTTCTCTCAAAACCCCTGAATTTTTACTAAATTTTTAATTTTGGGTTTGGTTTTTCAGGTATGGTAATTGGGAGTAACCATATTCAAAACCATAACCACCAAGGAGATGGGGAGAAAAACCCAACTAAGGGAGGAGCTTCTAGGTCGTGGGGCACGACCGTTTCAGGTCAATCCGTTTCGACTAGTGGTAGTGTCGGCTCTCCCTCGAGCCGGAGTGAGCAAGCTATGGCTACACCAGCTAGTGAGAACACTTTTTTAAGATTGAACCATCTCGATATTCACGGAGATGATTCTGGATCTCAAAGTGCTGGGTGAGTGCTTTTTATTATTTTTTGGATACCTTTTTAGCTTGATTTTATGATAATTCTGTTTAATGCTTGATTTCATCGTGGGTTTTTGAAGAAAGGGGGTGAGGTTTTAGGGCAGATTGAAGAAAAATCTTGAATTGTGTTTTCATGATGTAAATTTGTATTTGCTTATGCTATAATTTGGTAAATATTATCGCATTATGCTAGAATTGAACATTGTTTGTCGGTTACAATAGCGAACATTGTTTAAATTGGTGAATCTTTTGAATGTGGTGCGTTCATTTGGGTTGTTCTTGGTTCTTTATCCTTGACCTCTGACAAAACAATGCAGTTGTTGCAATGGTCTTATTATGTTGTTATAATGCTAGAGTGTAACATGAATTTAACTTATTGCCAATTTCATTTGCATTAGCAAAAAGAAGAAGAGAGGTCAACGTGCGGTTGGAAGTGATAAGGGTGGCAGAGGACTCCGCCAATTTAGCATGAAAGGTTTTCTTTCACTCTTTCATTTTCCTTACCTTTGAAAGGTTGTGATTTATGGTTAACAACAGATTGCATTTAAAGCTTATTCACATATTGTTTCATGTGAAAACTTTTTTTCATGTGCTTGATGTTCTTCCATGGATATTTTAGATGAGGCAGCAGTTGTGGCTTAGCTAACTGATTTCTTGTTTGAACTGTCTTTGGTTTCATCCAGTTTGTGAAAAAGTGGAAAGCAAGGGAAGAACCACATACAATGAGGTCAGGTGGTTTCGGAAAGTCATTCTTTTCATGTTTGTTGTTTTTGGTAAACTTGTTAATGGTCATTGCATTTGTTTATGGTTGTGTATATATGTTCTATCCATTTTTGCAAAATGATTTGAAATTTCCCTGAATTTATTCTCTGTGTTATATGGTATATGAAAAAGCTAAATTTATTTTTCTTTGATACTGCATTAATGGATTAAGATATATGGATTGTCGGGTAACCAGGATCCAAACTAGTTGTGCATTGGTAGTTGTTTTTTGTAGGGCAGGGTTTGCATGCCTTAACTCTTAATCGCAAGACTACTATATTTAGATATAGAGCTTCTGCCATATCACTCGAAAATTGTTGCAATCAAGTCTGTGCAGAGTGCTTCTAATGTATGTATGAGATATCAATGAAGAGTAGACCTGAAAAATTGATATCATGGCGATTTCTTTCTCATCAACCTATTTGTTCTACTCTGATTGCGACCTAATCTCTAGTTGCATGTCTATCATCATGATTAAGTGGTTTTTTTTAAGAATCAACCAAGTTCCATTGTGGATATATATAATTCTTGTGCCCTTTCAAATTTTTAAGCTGAAGGATACTGTTTTGCCTTTCAAATTGACATCATACAGTAACGTGGTTCCTAAATGTAAGTTTTTCCTTCTCATGCCAGCAAACACATGCTTGCATGCGTATGGAGTTATGTCTTCCCTTCCTAATGTTTCAAAAGTTTGGAAAATTACTATTTTGTCTGCTTAATGAAGTTGGAAGTTTCACTCCTTCTCTCCTGGCTTGGAAATGGTCATTGATGCTCTCTCTTTTATCTATTAAGAATTTATTTTATAAGCCCATGTCTTTATCTGAGAGTGAAAGTTATTTCAGGTAGCAGATGAACTTGTAGCTGAATTTGCTGATCCCGGCAGTAGTGTAGCATCACCAGATCAGGTTTGCTATTCTTTGGCCATGCTGATATTATATTCCTTGATCAGTACACTTGCATGTTTTAACCTACGAGAGTGAAATTTAACGGTATCGAACCTTCCTTTGGTTTTTTAATCTAACAGCAACAGTATGATGAGAAAAACATCCGGCGAAGGGTATATGATGCCCTGAATGTACTCATGGCAATGGATATTATATCTAAGGATAAAAAAGAAATACAATGGAAGGGACTTCCTCGTACTAGCCTGAGTGATATCGAAGAATTGAAGGTGACAATACAGATTCCATTTTTGTATTTTTTATGTTAAGTAGGTGTGATCTGCCATGACTATTAAGGATCTATTATGGAACTTAACAAGCTCTTCAAATGTACAGACTGAGCGGCTTGGACTGAGAAATAGGATTGAAAAAAAGGCTGCCTATCTGCATGAATTGGAGGAACAGGCAAGAATAGCGTACTTTTCAATTTACACATGTTTGTACGTAAAATTGCTTTCTGCATGCGCATAGGCTAACAGTTTTCTTTTTTGCTATTCATCAAGTTGCTGCATTTAGAGAGAGAGAGAGAGTGTGTGTGTGTGTCAAGTTTCAGTTGGTCCCTTTGTTTTCTGGCATTTGTTTACGTACTTGTTTTGCTTCTTAGTTTGTAGGTCTTCAGAATTTGATACAACGAAATGAGCAATTATACAGCTCAGGAAATGCTCCCAGTGGAGGTGTGGCTTTACCTTTTATCCTGGTGCAGGTTTGTTATCTTCTCAAGTCTTTCATTCCTTTAAGGAATTAGAAAATGCCACTTATTTAAGTTAAGCCACAAATTTAATTTTATCAGGCAAACTTTTAGTTTCCTAGCTCCTTCAAATCATTGTTCCTGTGCTTATATGAACCAACCTTAAATTTGACAATCATCTATTTTCTGTTTAACTAGAAATGTATGATCAGTCAACTTTTCATGTAGTCTGTTCCAATTATCACTTCACTAAGGTTTTTGACTAAGCTTTGGCATTTGTTAAGATCTGCATCTGTATGCTTGTTTTTCTTAATTTTTCTTTTTGTCTAACCAGTGTTTTGGTTCTTTGGTTAACTTTGTTTCTTGTCCAAAAAATCTTGTTCAGTAACACAGCTTGACATCACTAACTTGATGACTCAAAAACTGGAATGTCTACCATGTCTTTCTACTTGACAAGTGGGGAATATATTAAAGGATTTGTACGCCTATTTTTCTTTTCTTCAACTAGATTTTTGAAATGTCCATAAGTAGGTGTTGGCGATTGCTACATAAAAAATAAACCTTATTTTGATAAAACTTCTTCACATGTTAGTAATATCAATTCCAGTCTATATTAGGAGTATGGAGAAGAAAGAGCTATCTTTAGTTTGGAGCATCAATTTTTTAATTGTCCACATGCACTCACAATGTAGATGATGCAAATCTATCATGATGGGTGACTATGCTCACTTTGCCAAAGAAGAGGGAATCCATTTCTATGATCCAAATTTCTTTGACAGCTGGCATAGTAGGGATGAGGTTTGATTAAGGGCAACACGCATTTGCCCTTCTTGATGTGCATATGCTGCCTACCAAACATAGACATGTGTGCTGAATAGGTAATATAAATACTCTGATGGTTGAATAAATGCAGTTTAGGGTTGAAAAGAGTTTCATGGAATGGTTTTTCTGCACTAATCATGTAATGAAGACGAAAGTTTTGGTAGCCACAAACTAAATACACTAGATATGGTGGAAACTGGAAAAGTTCTAAGTTGCTGCAGATGATTAAAATTTTAAGTGTGGAGGTTAAACTGTGAATTTGTTATTCCTTTATGTCAATCAAGAAAAATCTGAATTATTTTATATGCAAAATGTATATAAATGGAGAATTTCTCTTGGTACCATGTTGATTGATTTGACATTTTCTCAAACATGCAGTTATATTTAGGTATATTGTGGGCCTTCATTATTCAAGTTCTATTTTACTCTGCCCATATTGATACTCCAATTGCATTGTTGAATCTGTTGTTATGTGTTTGTCTCCCTTTTCCAAGCTCTTATCTGCTAAAACTTCAAGGAAAAAAATGGACCCCATGAGGTTTATTCATTAAAGCTAATAGGCTATCATGGAATATGCATATGCTGAACTGATATAAAGTGTGTTTTTATTGTTATTTGGACTCTTCCATTAATCCTGAGGCCCCTTAATTTCTCCTCTTATTTTCTCTTGTCACCTGGAAATTGTAGACACGTCCTCATGCAACTGTTGAGGTAGAAATATCGGAAGATATGCAGCTCGTGCATTTTGATTTTAATAGGTAAAATTTTTAAACTATTTTTATAACTTGCAACATCCATTCAACAGCATTTGGTGGTTATTTTGAGTCATTATCATCTAGCGTAAACAAGCATGTTGTCTCATATTGTGATGGGAAGCTAAGGAGAGAGAAAGAAGGGTTAGATGTTCAGTGAAAGTATAGGCGTAAATTCAATAGTCTGATAGCAACCTTCACTTGACAAGCGAGTGAAAATCTCTACCAAATGCTTAAATAATCTTTTTCATGGCTTGCCTTTTTTTTTTTTCTCCTTTTCATCTTATTGGTGTTCTATTTACAGCACTCCCTTTGAGCTCCACGATGACAATTATGTTTTGAAGGCAATGAAATTCTGTGAAAGACCACAGAGTGATGAAATGGCTCACAATTTTTCTACGGATGGTGAAGGTTCTAGCATGTCCGCAATGTACCAACAACAGATCTTTCCTCCCCAAAAGACAAGCATGCTGGATAAGCCTCCTATGTCGCCGCCTCTTCCAGGAATATTAAAAGCACGTGTCAAGCATGAACACTGATAGTTGAGTTTCAAGCCGAGCACCATGGGAAATCAATCTATTTGTACATTGTGTAAAGTAATTTGGCCAGAAGCAACCGCTGTAAGATCATCTTTACCTCATAATATTTCACCCCACATTAAGCCTGATTAGTCTGTTTTGCTTGAAGGCTTTTCAAGGGGTATTGGTTCTGGCAAGTCCCCAGCTTTTACATCCTCATAATATGCTCATGTAATTTTTTACCCTATTTTCCCATGTTCTTTTGCCCCCACTATATAGAAATTAGCTTATGGGTATTAGATTGTAGAGATTGTTCATTCCATTAGAGAATCATAGAATGTGCTAGTTTTAAAAAACTGCGTTTTGCCCTATTAGTTTTTCACTTTTTTTTGAAATTATTTAATCAGTTTTACTTTAAACAAAATTCTTTTTTTTTTTTTTGTGAATAATTTCTGTAAAAATTTTAAATTAATAAATTTAATAAATTCAACTTTCCTAATTTGTTGTAGAAAGCACATATTTGGTCCATGAGCTGTAGTAAAGTAGGATTGAAATATTACTCGTGAGAATAAAACAAAGGGTGACTACGAATGGAATATTTTTCTTAGAGCGTTACAATAGAACGCTACAAATTTGCTACAATTTGACATTTATTATATCAGTCACTGCACAAGTAGTGATAAGGAAGTTTAAACCAATTAGCTCTAGGTTGAGCAGAAGCCTATCAATCCATATCTTTGCTTGCTCTCATTCGCTGGGCGGCGATTCTCTTAGCCAAATATCTGTCCACTTCTGCACCCACCATCATCACTTTCTCTCTGTTGCATACTTTTTAACTCTGCTAGTAAAGCCAACTCATGAAAATTTCCTGATGCATTTAACAATGCCCATTATGTTAATAGAAACTACAAAAGGACTTCCATTTTAGTTGAATTTTCATGGAATTCACAGTTTGATTGTTTATGGGATGTAAATAGTGTTATATTAGGTAAGACGATTGTTTTAGAAGTTTATTTTAGATTGCCATTTTTTTTTATAAATTCAAACAAAAATAATTCAATTATGGATGAAATAGTAAATGGCATACTTTTGTTGTGGATGTGGTCTAATCGTATTATGGATGAAATGGTAACTAGACGAAGATTTATGTTGCATCATGCCTTTGCGTTATGGGGGTGGCTAATGGCTATGGGCATTATCCTTCGGCTATATGTGGACTATTTTTTTTTAAAGCATCAAACAAAATCAATTAGACATGAAAGTGGTCCTACATTTTGTCCAATTACTTGATATAAATGGTGTGCAAACTTCCGAAATTTGAAATGGAAAATTTCAATGACACCTCGTGATTGTTGTAACGATTGTTGGCACGTGCCCCATAGTGTGATGTTGTTATCAATGGCAAACAAATGCTTGAAATTCAACTTTGATTTTCTTACTACAATATTGGCATAGAACAAGAGGATTACAAAAAGTAATGAGGAGTCAGAAAGTACCTACGTGAAGCAAAGGAGCATTTAAACCCAAACATTTAAGGCAGCCTTAGAGGCATCCAAGGGTGAGTGATATCAGATGAAGAAGCAGATGCATGATCCTTATGTGGCGTTCCCTGATTGGCTTGTTTGCATAAAGTCCCACGTGTTTCAGCCGACGCGTCACATCGTCGCAGCGTACTAGTTGATTATCAAATGAAAGTCTGTTGAGAAGCCGTATAGCTAAATTCTACTACTACTACCTATTTTCCTATCATTTCCACTCCCAAGTTTTCAACCTTTGAAACTTGTTTGTTGATCAGCAACTGATCGTATCTCTCTTCAACCCTTGCTACCATCCCTTCCCTTGCTGATCTTCTCCAAATCAGTCTCCTGCTGCAGCCACATTTGACATATCCAACAAGTCTTCATTTATCTGCATTTGCACCTGCACCTCTCCGAGTCCTAGCTAAACTCCAGCTACAGCCAGGAGGAGATCATAACAATCTCCATGCATGGGCCATTTTCTGAATTTGTTGGTTGGGAATGGAGAGAGGTGCAGTTGCAAAGTGCAGATAAATGGCTTCTTGGTTTTATCTGTTTCTCAGTAATTTGGTGCACATGGAACCTATCTTACCACATTCATCTTTCTTATCTGAGGTAAAAAAAAATTGATTTCATCTGTATGTACTGTTTTGTGCTTGTTAATCACAGAAGTAAATTATAATGTTTGAAGATATAAAACTCTCTTATTCTTTCTATAACATATACTCTCATAGACATATATACATTTCAGTTAACATAAACATATCCATCAAGAATGAGGAGCAAAAGAGTTGTTACTATTGTTCTTTGAAATTGGTTTACATGTGTTTGAAACTTTCAACTTTGAAGAGATCACTCTCTGATCCCCAACTTAAACTAAGCTGCTTTTTTGGCAGTGCTAGCTATTCCCTACATGCATATATATATATATATATAATTGCTTTGATTGTATTAGCAAATTAAATGTAAAGTATTTTTTTATTATTAAAATTAAGAGTCTAATATTCTATTAATAGATTTCATAATTGTTGGCCATGCAAATTATTTTTAAAATAAAGAGCGTAGAACAATAATGATTAATAAAACCGAGCACTAGACTACCATTAGATATATTTTTTTGTTCAAAGAATTGGGTTTGTAATTTTTTTCAGAAATAAAAAATAATAAAAAGGATAATAATAATAATAAATTTAAGGTTATTACCCATTTTTTTACATGGTTGATCCCGACAATGAAAGTGCAATTAAACCTTATGGAGCTATAAAAAATATGTAAATTTTAAATTAATTGATTAAATTACTCAAAAAGGTAAAGAAAATAATTTTATTTTTTACTTCAAAATTATTTTCCAATTTTTTATATAATAACAAATTAATTTTCATATTTAATTATTTATCTTCTTTTTTTTTTGCCAGTTAATTATTTATCTTGTTGCATTTATCATATATATCTAGAATAAAAATAAAAGTGAAATTCTAAAGAATATTTTCTACAACTAAAGGCTATTAAATATTTATAATTCCTTTTATATTTCATTTCCCAAACCATGAAACAATACTTGCACGGCCCAAGATTTAGAGGTCACAGGCCCAAAACATAAGATATGATGATCACACGACACCGTTTCGTTAGCACCGCCTCAACTCTTCGAATGCCCTTTTCGTCCAGGGTTTTTCAACAAGTCTACTACAAAACCCTAATTCCCCAAATCACAAACAAAGAGGAAAAAAAGGTCCAGAGCCATTCAAAATAATTTTATTAGAAAGGGGAAAAAATGAGAGGAAAATGTCCAAGCAGGAAAGTAAAGAAGCGAAGATTTTCTCACAAAACAGCTCGCCGCACCAAATTCCTCCTCAAAGATACTCTTTTTCCTTTTTTTCTTCAATTTTAGTTTAATAGAATTTTTCTTTCTTTATGATCAAAGTATATTCTTTTTCTACTTTATCTATTTTTTTCCTTGATCGAGAGATTTCGATTCACGTGACTATGCCGTTTATGAGGAGCCGCAAAAGGGTGATTTCGAGAAGAGGCCATTGCCTCGCGATGAGGATTTGCCTGGAATGGGCCAATATTACTGCTTACACTGCGAGTAAGTGCAATAATTTATGAACTTAATTTATAATTTGATTAATGACCTAAGGTATTGTTTTTGTTCCAAAAAAAAATGAAAAATAGAAAAAAAAATCTTGAATTCTAGTATAATACAATGGTTTGTTACTTTAAATACGTTTTATTGTTTTATATGTTCAGTCGATATTTTGCGAATGTGACTGTGAGGGATGAACATTTCAAGACGAAACGTCACAAGAAACGGTGAGCAATTCCATTTTCTAATTGTCATGTTACCGTCTTTGGCTCTGTATCTGTTTTGTTTCTAACTAGTCAGAAAGTTTTATGCTTGATATGGGTTAAAATAGAATCATGTTTGGGTTAAGAATTTCAGGTTTTATTGAGAAAATTTGGTTGTTACGATGTTTGCTACAAATGTTCTCTAGAAATCTTCATAGCTCTGATACTAATAGTGTTCACATTCCAATTAATACTTTTCCATGTTGCATAGTATGACACTGAAAGAGATTGTTGTAACTTAGATTAGCTAATGGCTGACTAGTGGTGTAACGGTAAACAGAATCTGATGATGCCATCTGCTAATGGACTAAAGTGTAGAAGCTAATTATTGCAGTGAGCATATCTTAGTAGGGGGAGGATATTTTGTTTGATTTATGCTTTGTTTGGTGCAGTTTAAAGCAAATGTTGTGGCCTGCACCACATACTCAACTTGATGCTGAGTTAGCTGCTGGGATGGGTATGCCGGATAATGGACCAACATTAATGTCAATGTGAGCATTCTGAATTTGGCTCCATCCATGATGTAGATCATTCTGGCAATCAGTAGGCAAATTTAGAGCTCCTAATTGCAGAGGGTTTTTGGTGCAAGGTCTTCAGACAACTGATTATGTTCCTGCTTTAGTGATGAAACCAATGTTGCTTCTTTTATACTAATGCTTGTGCAGATACGTGGATTCTTTCTTTCTTTCCCTTTTTGTTACTTTCTTGTGCCAGTATATCTTATAATCCTGTAAGTAATATAACGTGGCTGAAAATAGTGAGGAGTACCAGGGAACATGTATTATCTTTCTTTTCAGCTCTTTTTTAAATTAGCAATATCGGTTTTACAATATATTGTGCTCTGGTCACTTACTAACCTTCCAAAATAAATATCTGTTTTATTTCTTTTTTATTATATTTCCATTTTGACACTTCCAAAAGTCACAACTACACATTTGATACTTGTTAAGATTGGACTCTGTATTGGTTGAACTTATCTTTGCCTAGACCAATTTTTATTCCTACTGGAATTGGTTACTAGGAGAGGGATGAAAAAAGCGTTGACTGTTAAGTCATGGCCAGTTGATAAATTTCCAACCAAAAATGCTTGTCATTGCCTCTATTTCCTACTCTTCTATGTGGTTATTGGTCCACAACTCCTAACAAACCATTTATTTGTTGCTTGAAAAATGCCTATATTCCTTAGTTATGGTGCTAGATAGAAGGATAGTGGAAAGTGTCGCTTTATTAGGATTAAGCAAGTTAAGAAGTTCATATGCTGCATTAGATCATTCTTCATTGAGTTATCAAGCAGTATTGGACAGGAAGACAGCTATAGGAAGAGGGTTGTGAATTTTGATGCATATCCAAGTTGGAAATGCAACTTCGTGCTCCATTTCTTTCCTTTGAAAGATAACAAGAATAACTTGTTGTCGGAGGGTTCAAAATCATGGCATGTATGCTTGTCTGTTGGTGGTCTACATTTTGTAGGTTTGATTGGTGCATAAAGCCTGTTGGTTTGTCTGTAGATATAGAAGTGGCCCCACGTATCATGCTGCTTATAGATGGAGCATTGTTAATATCTTCAGATGCTCAATCTTGGAACTTTTCTGGGCATTTCTTAGAATAAATTTTGTTGGGTGGAAGGGAAGGTGGAAACTTCACGTGTCTTTCCTTCTTAGTGGAGCATTATCTGATTGGTTTTTTTGCTTTTTGCCTTGAGTGGAGGAAATAGCACTTTAAGAAGTTGGAGCCTCCAATTAGACTGGACATCAAATATCTTTGTTATTAGGTCTAATCTAGCAAAAATTTGTTCTGATATGATTATGATTCTGGTTTTGTTGTTCCCTTAGGTAAATTATTCTTGTTTTCAAGTAATTAGTGGGGGTAAGGATACATAAACATCACCAACAAAGTACAAATTTTAAGATTCTTGAAACATACTTTTGTCAAGTTCTCATTATTGTGCTCTGTTGAATCCATGGTTGAGGTCTGACTATTTGGCGTCTTGTGTTTGCTATCATATAAACTTCCATAGTTGTATTTGAGTGTTTTAATGTTGCAGAGCCAATAAGAAGAGTATCGATATCATATATTTGAGATAGCCCTGGCTCTCCTCCTGTATTTAGTCATTTACCATTTCCAATGTAGACAAAGGAACAAGAGATGCAGTCAGTACTTTGCTTTGCAGTGTGTCATCCTCTAATTTCCCAGTAGTATGAAAAAGTTCTCAGCCCTTGAAAACAAAGACCAATCTTTCAGCAAAGTGCCATTCCCAGCAAAGGTCCATAGGTGGATCTATGGCCACTAACATCCTTTATATATTCTTTTAACAAAAAAAAGGTATTAGGGTGAGGGCTCCACCTGCTCGCATGGTATCCCACGAGGTCCATGAACCAACACCATCATCTTTCTGTCATTTTCCCATCCTAGTTTCCCTTTCTTTTTCCCTCACGCGTGTCGACTACTAGCTACTACACTGGCTGAAGCATGACTTTCATAATCTTTTCCTATCCGTCCTCTTTGGGGTCTTTGTCTATTTCTCTTTTTTACTCTTTGCTTTTCTTCCTGTTGCTATCTCTGCTTAAAAAGGACTCATTGCACATGTAGCAACCACCATGTGAGCTTCACACTGAATTATTTGTCCCCCACAGGGTCTCTCTCATTAATATTCAGGATAGGATAAATTACCCTAATTGCCACGAATCCATCATCTTAAAGTGGGATGGTGATGGATGAAAATGCCAAACGTGCCAATCCTCTTAAGTCTTCAACCACAAACCCATTGAATTATCCATTACTATGTGATAAGCCTTGTGAAAGTGATTGAATTCTATCATGCATCAAAGTTAATCATTTGTCGTGGATATCTACTGGATTCCATGCAAGATTTGATAGCTAAATGAACGTTTGGCTACACACTGTTTCCCTCAATTATTTTTCAACATTGCCTTGACTTTCATTGCCATACCCTCCTATCTTGACATGAAAGTTGAAAAACAAAACACATATGGTATGAGATGCTTTTATGATATGTTTGAATGGAAACATGTATTTATCTATTTCATCTCAAGGAACTATATTTGTCATTATCATTTCCTTGGAAAGATCCATCGTTAAAAGAGAAAAAATAGATAATGCACATATATTATACTATATCAAAATATTAAATCCAAAGTAAACATCCAAAAAAATCTTAAGGGGCATATGGGATGTACTCCTTTTCTACTATTTTCTTAAAATTCATTAGGCTTCTCTTTCATTGTCATCTTTTGGTTTTGGTGAAGAACTTGAGCCTGATGTCATTCCAACGACTTGGCTATTAGTAAATCTTTGTAATTGTATCATGCGGGCATAACACCCATCAGGATAATTTTTTAGTAAATGTGAATGAGACCCTTGCTCTGGAACTTTCCCATCATCAATCACTGCAATGACATGAGCATTCCTAATTGTTGATAACCGATGAGCAACCACAATTGTGGTTTTCCCTGAGCAGGCACGGTCTAGAGCCTCTTGGACTGATCTCTCAGACTCAGCATCAAGGGCACTTGTTGCCTCATCAAGCAGCATAAGCTCTGCCTTCCTCACAAGAGCCCTTGCAATTGCAATTCTCTGTTTTTGGCCCCCAGAGAGTTGAACTCCTCTCTCCCCCACATCCGTTTTGTAACCATCGGGTAATGAAGATATAAACTTGTGGGCATTGGCTAGTGTAGCTGCCTCAATGATCTCAGCTTCAGTCGCTGACTCATGTCCGTAGGCAATGTTTTCATAGATGGTAGACCCAAAGAGGCATGGTTCTTGTGGAACAATTGCAATGTGTTTTCTCAGGGATTTGAGGTTGTATTTCCGAATGTCCTTTCCATCAATCATAACACGTCCAGATGAGGGCTCATAGAATCTCTGTATAAGTGCAATGACCGAACTCTTACCACATCCACTCGGACCAACAAGGGCAAGAGTTTTTCCAGCTCGGGCACGAAGATTAAGGTCATGGAAAATTGGGACATCAGGACGTGAGGGGTAAGAAAATTCCACATGCTTCAATTCAACTTCTCCGCGAAGGCGGTCCGGAACTTGGGTGGCATCTAGGTCATCAGGCTCAATCTCAGTTTTACGGTCAAGAAGATCAAAGACTGACCGCATGGCTCGACCTCCCTTGATGAAGTCAGGAGCTAGGGTCAATGTTTCAGCTGCACCATTGGCAGATACCATGAGAACCATAAAGACTCGGATTGTCTTCGAAAAATCAGAGATCCCATGCTTCACAAGCCAGGAAGCATACCAAAGACCAAGGGCATAGGAAGCATAGAGTGAAAACTGAGCTACCCCAAATCCACTTCCTGCAATTTGTCCCTTCCAGAAGCAGCGCTTCAATGGAGTTTGAAGGTTTGAGGAGAATAGGCTAACAATTTTGTTCTCTGAATTGAAGGCAGCAACAGTTCTTACATTGGCTATGGCCTCTCCAGCTAGTTGTGTGGCCTTGGCATGAGCAGCTTCTAAATCTCCTGAGAAACCGTTCATAAACATTTTCTGTTGAAAATCAAACAAACATAGTTAATAACTTGATGTCTGGTCAATATTGCTAAAGGCATAACTTGTACAAGACATAATTGATTAAATTTCTAAATCTTGGAGCTGTGAAAAACATTAGCTCAACAAGCAGATAGAAATTAGTTTAGCATATAGTTCAAATAAATCAAAAACTATCACATATCAACAACAGCTTCACCATAACTTATAGCTACTTTTAGTCTTTAGGTATTATCAGTTTAATTTAATTGATCATTCATCAATTCTAGGAATTGATACTTGACAACAGCATGCATGTACAAGAGATCAGCTTTGGAAACAAACCTGCAAAACAGTTGCTGCTACAACCACAGGGAAGACTGCAATGAGGACAAGGGCAAGACGCCACTGCAAAACAAAACCAGCAGTGCAGGCAACAAGCATGAGTGCTGTATTCTGCACAATCACTGAAATCCGGTCTCCTATGGCTGATCTGACATTATTGGCATCAAGAGCCAGCCTTGCTGCAATCCTAGCACTCTCATTTTCCTCCTGATCAAACCATGCCATTTCATTTTTCAGCACTGCTGCCAGCATCTTCTCCCTCACTCGTTTTGTGAGATTTTCTCCCACAATATCCCAAAAGAAATGCTGTAGTGTGTTAAAGAGAAGGGCAGCTGATGAAAGTCCAATTAACAAATAGCAGTATTTCCCAATTTCACTGCTCATGTAAGCATGATCGGGGTTGTAGTAGACGCTGAGAACAGCACTTAGCACATATGCAAAGAAAGCACTAAGAGACCCACAGACAACAGAACCTATAGAACCAACTAAAGCATAAACCCATTCAGGAGAATTCATTTTTGCAAGGCGCCAGAAGGAACTAGCTTGCTCCTTGAAGGCAAGCTTTTCCATTCGGTAATTAGGGTGTGAGGCCTCAAGGGAAAGGCTAAAATCAGAAGTAGAGAAATCAGAAAGCCTGCGTGAATATGGTGATCGGCCATATGATGAATTCCGGGCAATAATCGGTGAGCTTACTGAGTTCCTGGCACTAGAAGGCCTGCAGAAGAACCATGACAACAGATCTCAGATTTACCTATAGTGTTCTATGTTAACAGGAACATTCTAAAAAATGCAAGGTTTCAAGATATTATCAAACACATGCAGACTTGTGGAAGCTACCTTGCACTACTTTTTCTAGCATTGTTAAGGGCAGTTTCATGTGCCATCTCTTGCATTCGAATGAGCTTGGCATAGACACCATTTTCTCCTTTGGCAATAAGCTCATCATGTGTTCCAATTTCAGAAACACTCCCTTGCTGGAGTACAGCTACAAGATCAGCCTTACGAATGGTGGAAAGGCGATGGGCAATTACAAGAGTTGTCCTCCCAATCATAAAACGATCGAGAGCCTCTTGCACCAGCTTTTCTGACTCAGAGTCCAGTGCACTAGTTGCTTCATCCAAGAGTAGGATTGCCGGGTTCTTTAACATTGCCCTGGCTATAGCAATTCTCTGCTTCTGCCCACCTGAGAGTTGAATTCCTCTCTCCCCAACCTGCCATTTCAAAATTATTAACTCTAATTGGTTTATGCTTTCAAGTTAATTTGTCTCTCTTTTGATTATATTTTGCTTTTTATCACAAGATAGAATTCGAAAAGAAATGAAAGCATGGAAATTTTTATCAAGCAGTAATTTGACTTAGATTTCTTTGCACCTTGCTAACAACGGCATACACATTAACTTAATTATATGATTATTTTGTCAGGAATATTGGTTGTGCATCAAATTTAAAAAAGTTTGGCGGATTGTTATTGTCAAATAAAAAAATGGTTGATTGTTCCTATTTATATATATGTATTAGTTAAGAGATTGCAGTCTCACTAAAATTGAATGAAGGGGAAAACCCCTTCATTTAACCCCATGTCTTCCATTTTCTTTTTTAAAAGAAGGGTATGTCTAATTAATTCTGCATCCAACGATAAATTTTTTGTAATTTTAAACCAATTATTCTTTTCACAATTTGTTTCTCACCTATCATTTTCAAGTTATCAGTTGATTTCCATATTCCTACTAAAAAAATAAAATATTCAGCAATTATTTATTTTTTGAAGCCTTCTATATTTTATTGTCCTTTATGCTAATTTCTTGTCTCTCTGCTTGGTCTTCCCCCTTCTAAGTCATTTGGTCTTATTCCTGCACATGCATTGCTGACTGAAGCATGTTACCTTCTTATAAATGCATGCATGGCCAAATATTTTCCTCCTTTGACTTCAAAAATATTGTATAAAATAATAAATGTAAGTTAGGTTCTGTTTGTTGACCAAATGAAGCAACTCTAGGGCATTAAAAATATAACCAAAACCTTTGGTCAAGATCCATGATTACATTTCACCTTCCTTGGTGCCTAGCTTACCCATTCCCTCACCTTCCCCAATTGCCATAAAGTCAACAGCCCCACTTGTATACAACGACATATTTCTAATCTGCGAATAAGAATAGCTCAGTATTCAGTGAAGAACGCTAACACTAACATTAATTTCATCTTATTATCTTATATTAGAGATTTTAAGTGTTTTAAGCAAGTGCTGCAGAAGGTAGGTAATCCTAATGAAGTATACAACATGGTAGCAATTATTAAACTGAGAATAGATGAACCGTCCGAGATTAGCTAACCTGAGTGTCAAAGCCATCAGGAAGCTTTACAATGAATGAATGGGCATTGGCCACTCTGGCAGCTTCTTCAATCTCAATTTGGTTTGCATCAGGCCTACCCAAAAGAATGTTTTCTTTAATGGTGGTAGCAAAAAGGGCAGGCTCTTGGCTCACAAGTCCTATTTGTTGCCTCAACCATATCAGTTTTAATGTCTTTATGTCATGCCCATCTAGCAGCACTTCTCCTGCACAAGTACATTAATTAACTGAGACTTTCCACCCTACAAGTATACAATCTCCGGAAAAAAGTACATACCCAAATGGAATAAATGAAATCAGCAGCAAAAATAACTTCAATTGGCATAAAACATTAATAGTATCATTTACTTGAAATGAGATAAGATTCAATGTTGTTGGTTATAGAGGTTGCAATGAAAAAATTGGCAGCATAGCTTACCTGAGGTGGGATCGTAGAATCTCTCAATAAGGGAGACCACAGTGCTTTTACCCGAACCACTGCTTCCCACCAAAGCTATAGTTTTTCCAGCAGGTACACTTAGGGAGAAATTGTTAAGGATCTTTACATCAGGCCTTGATGGGTATGCAAAATTCACATTTTTCAGTTCAACTAGACCAGTAACTGACTGCAACTCCAAATCTGACTCACTGTTTCTATCGATGCCAGGTTTGTGATCAATTATACGGAAAATTTTTGCAGCCGCCACTTTGGCCTTTGCAAATGCAGACATGCTTGGTGCAGATTGTCCCAAACCCCTATCAATAAAAGAGATGTTCTTGAGCAAACAGTAGTTTACTACAGCAATGCATTATAGAAAACAGAGTACTCACAATCCACCGATCATGACTGCAAACATAGTGGCTATGGCAAGTCCTCCATTGGTGTAGTGATGCCTGACCAGAAAACCCCCGTACCAAAGGAGAAGAGCATAACAACAAAAAACGACAAAGTAAGTTGCCCCCAATCCCATTCCCTTTGCAAATCCAGACCTGTAACCAATCTTTTGTGCAACCTTCAATGCAGAGGAGTAGGCTTGTAATGATCTTGATTCACCAACAAAAGCCAAAACAACACGAATTTGAACCACTGTCTGCAATTTAGGTCGCAGTTAGCAAATACCCAGATGAAGAAACAGAAGAAAAACTGGACATAAAATGGTTTTGATCTCTTTCTCCCACAAATTGAAACTAAAAATTTGCATCCTTTGTACCTGTTCACAATAGTCTCTGTGATAAATCTCTCTTGCAGAAGCTGGCTAAGTGGTGTATGATGCTCAATAACAGCAATGAGAGGATTGACCACTGCAAGTGTGACCAAAGCCAATTGCCATAACGCTGTGAAACCCAACACAAAACCAGATACAAATGTTGCCATGTAGTGAATGAAATTGCCCAACTGCACAAAACAATAATAATAATAATAATAACAGAGTTCAATTTGACACTAAAAGAGAAAAACACCAAAAAAAAAATTGAAGAATATATTTCTGTTTTTACCTTCTCGCTAATGGCATCCTGGACCATCACTGCATCAGTGTTGATAGAAAACACAACATCAGAAGTTCTAACCTCAGTGTCAAAGTATGAATTCCTGGTTCAAAGCTGCTTCTAAGTACTTGATCCTCATCTTGGTTGTTTGCCTCTCTCCAGTCCACATCCAACAGGATATTTCTGCACTCAATTTTCAAGCTTTCTTTCAATTATTACATCAAGAAAAAACCCAGAAACGTGAACTAAAAGCAGCAGAAGAAGAAAACTTTGTCTTCTCCATGATGAACTAACCTGCCCAAGAAGATGCCCATATTGCCGCACCCACCACAAGGAAGTAAAATGCATACTACAAATCAAGAAAAAATATATTTTTAGTGAAAATTCTTTAGCTTAACAAAAAAAATGAAAAATTGGCTTTAAATGTAGAACCTTTAAAACTTCTTGCATCATCTTGTCCATGTTATTAGCATTAGAACCAAAAGAATTGACAAGATTAGCAAAGAAACGAAGGAAGATAGGCAAAGAACAGCCATGTACAAGAGCACCAAGAGACCCAATTCCCATCAACACATAATCCAAGCCATCAGCAAATCTAAATAGTTCACCAAACCCAACTGAAGGAACATCACCTGGCTTCTCCCCACTTCCACCACTACCATTATTACTCCCATCTTTTTTTGTCTCAGATGAAGAAGAAGCAGAAGTAGTAGTTTCCATTTCTCTTCTCTCCTCTACACTTTCTTGATAAGTTTGTGATTCAGCTTGACTTTGCTTTTTAGGTTTCTCTTGGTGTTGTATTAAGTGTGTGTTTTTTGTTGTTGTTATTGTTGGAGTTGGGGTTGAGGGGTTGGTTTTAAAAGGGTCAGAAGAAGGAGCAGACATAAGTTCAAGGCCTTGCATTTCGGACCATTTCCACTGCTCAATCGTCTTTATCTCGTCAGACTCTTGTGACATTTGCAAATTCCTTTGCTTTATGAACAACGCACACTCACACCCCGAAAACTCTTCTTCTTTATTATCTTCCCACTCTTTATCTGGCTTTTCAACTCATTGTTTCTCTCTCTCTCTTTCTCTCTCTCTATGTTTCACCCCCCACTCTATCTGACTTTTGTGATAATCGGTTGTTTCGTTTCAGTTTTTACTCCTATGTTTTGCTGTTGTTTTTTTGTTTACGATGCTGTTGTTTTTAAAAATCAACTGTTAGCAGTTCAGTTTGCTTGCTGTGAAAAAACATGGAAAGTGACAGACAATGCAAAAGACACGGATTTTCCACCCGACAAAACCATGCCGTGTGAATACTTAGAGATGGGATTTTGACTAAAACAGCTTCAAACTGTGCAAAAAGAAACACCCAGTTTAACTAATTTCATTTTTAGTACTATTACCACTGTTTGTGTTTCTTACTTTATTGTTTTTTAAATGAATAATAATAAATGTATGTATGAAGAGTTTGATTTCCAAGTCCTCTCCTTTTGCTTATTTATCAAGTTAGCAGTTTGCTCAAAGGCTTGTGCAAGAAATTTCTTTTTTCTTCTGTTCAAATTCAAACCTTTGGGTATCTTTTAACCTTCTCCTTGTGTGATTGTCTGTCTGTCCCCTTTAATTCCGCCGTCCTTTTCTAACCCTTGTAGCTTAAAAACCATATCACATTGTCACGTACAGCTTTCTGTCAATGATTAATATACCAAACATGTATTTTTCAATGGAAACATGGTCTGAATACAGCTTGATTCTTTTTTCTTTTTTGGTGAAAAGGTTACTATTTAATTGTAAATTAACAATTTGGTTAGTTGTCTTGCAAAAAGGGTTCATCTTTATTTGGAACACAAACGAAAGTAAAATTATTTATATTTGGACGAATTTAACAATTGAATCAATCTTTGGTAAACATGGTATAGAGAGAAAGGGAAGCCATTTCATGTAAGATTATTAAGTGTTGAGTGCAATAATACTATTTGTCCACTAAACAAAGCCTGTGATATCTTGTCTTTAATATTACAAGACAGCTTATTAAGGAATAAGGAGTAATCTTGAGGCTTAATCTTGTCTTCTATAAAAAGAGGCTTTTAATTTTTTTAGGTATCCGGACAAGGATACTTCAAAATTCAAATCAGGTTGAAAATAAAATGTCTGCAATTACAAATTAATATCAGTTAATTTTTGTTATTATAAATCTTCATTTTAACAAGAAAACAAAAAGAATATCGTCAAGGATCACTTTAATCCTTTTAAATTTAATATTTTTTGTTTAAATAATTAGATCTCAAATCTTGAATTTTGTTTTTAACCCCAATCTTTATTAACTTTTATAAGTAAAGATAAAACGTACGTGACACCATTACTTCAAAGATAATAAGAAAATGTTATAGTTTGAATAAATCAAATTTACGGAAAAGTAGCAATGATCACATGGTATGTATCTTCACCAAAAATATTAATGGTAAAAAGTGTCAGTTAAAGCAGTAGCTAAATTTTCCAAGCTAAACAAGTATGGTTCTTTTGTCCTTTACCAGGAAACTCCCTCAGACATTCTTGTAAAATATAATTAGCAAGGAAAATCCCAACTTGAACTCGAACAATAATTTGTCAGTTCCAACAGCTAAGAATTCATCAATTTCCCACCATCAATTCTTGTCCTAAGAAAGGAAAATAAGAATTTCATATGCACAGATACACATTATACATGTTATACTAGTACCAATATTTTTTATGCAATGAAGTTCTTCGAAACAATACAGAGAATACGATTCCACCAAGAAAATTAAAAAAAAAAAAAAACCTTGTCAGGAAATCATTTTTACAAACCTGGGGATTCGCTCTAAATTTGATTCTTTATAGAAAAGGACAGCAAATGAACTAATATTTTAGAATGCAACCATCTTCTTCTTTAAATTTAGCCATTTTCATATTCCATAGTCAGAGTTCTTTCACCTGCCAACTTCAATACAGAAGTTGAATCACGCCTTTGAGCTTTTTTCTTTTTTAATTTTTATTTTTTTAATGACAAAAACTCAATTGAGTCAAAGTCTTTTTCTGATACAATAAAGTTTACAGAAATCTGACACTGAACATTTTCCCTGAACTTGCATTTTCCTCTTTTTTTTTTTAAGTACTAAAAGAATTGAAGAAAAATAAAGTGGTTATTGGTATCTTTCTCTCTTTTCACGCTTACCGTACTGTTTGATTTTTTATCTGCAACTCCCCTTTGGCAAGGTTCTGCTTTGCCCTCTCCCCACTGCTACGGGCATTTGTCGACTTCTCATTGTACTAGGCTACTAGCCCCCTTTCAAAAGAGCATTTACTATGCTTGTTTTGTGATAAGATCCTTAAGTGCTTAAATGGCAAAGTTTTGTCTCAATCTTATTTGAATTTTTTAACTTGCATTTAGGATAGTCTTAGAAATTTATGAAGCACATTTGAGAATAACTTGATATCTGTTCTCTGTCATTTTCTTTTTCTTCACTGTTTTCCAAGAATCAAACACAATTTTTTTATACGAAATGTCAGATTATATTTATTATTAGTAATTCTTAATATTTTTCACTGAAAGATACTTTCAAAAAATGAGTTGGGGGAACAGTGTTTTAAGGTTGTAGAATATGCCATTGACAATTACAACAAATTTTTTTTCTTTGTCCGGCTAGAAAGCAGAGGAAAAATTAATATAAAATTTTCATATCCTACTTGAAGGTTAGGAATCCATCATCAGAGTTAGCTGGGGAAAAAAGCAATCCCCAACCACTCATCAATAGGACACAGGACACAGGACACTGACGAATACAGAAATACAGAAATAGGTCAAATTTTATGGAGAAAATCATATGTGACTCAGCCACTCAGGTTAGTTTGGTGCCTACAGTGAGTCCAACCCCTCCCTACACTGCACCCTTCTACTCAGTATATGGTTTTGAATGAACCATGGCATTCATTCCCCTGGGATTCATAGATAATAGTAAGTATTTTGTTTTTCACTCTAAATTTTCAGATTACTTTTCTGGATATACAGTTGCTGTATCCTTTTTAGTAGAAAAATGGGAGAGTGAAGTAAAGAGAGAGAATGAAAATTTGTTTGACTAGAAAAGCTGGCTTTTACTCTTTGGACCCTAGCTAGACAACAACATGAATTGAGAAAGCCAGAATTGCAGCAGATGCACTAATTAATACCATCACCCATAATGATGAATCATTAGACCATATTCTTTTCAAGGCTTGCACACCCAATAGGAAAGTTCTATTTCCCAAGAACATATATATATATATATATATATATGCTCATCCATAGGAGCTACTTTGAGGATTGAAAAGATTTGACCCCACTTATGTATGGATTGTAGATTCCTTAGAACTAGGAAAGAAAAGGACACAGACCAAAGAATTAAAGGAAAAAAAACTAACAGAGATATGAACTAATCATACTACTTATTTCCATTGGAGAATGGGAGTCTACTTCACAAGTTCACTCACTATTGGTTTGCATGTTTAATGTTACACTTACACCATCAAAGTTTTACTCCATGAATTTCCAGTTATAGAAAAACAAAAGGTTGAACTCAAACTATGATAGTAACAACTAAGAATAAGAATTCATATATATATATATATAGTTATATGAAAGGAAAGATTAAAATATAAAAAATAATGAAGCTCCATTTAATTTGTAGGCATGATTATTGTCATCACAAAGAAAAAAATGCAGAAACAGCCATGGGATTGATAGAAATGTAATGCAAGAAAACATGAACTAAACATCCAATAAGGTCGTTCAAGATTAGGTGAAAAGCAAAGGGAGTCGGTGGTAATAATTTTATTGGCAGGTAATCTGCCAATTTTGGGGGAGAGAGAGAGAGACTGGCTATGAAGAAGTCAAAAAGAAAAAGGGCAATCCACCTTTGTCTCTCTCTTTGTCATTGAGAGCCTATGATTATTTGTTACTATTATAAAAATTTGGGGTGGTCCATTTTCAGTCCCCTGATATTTCTTCCTATAGGAAAAGATAGAGGATTAAGGAGGGATTGAATTTTAAATGGGGAAATTTGGTAAAAAAACAGGAATAGTAAAATCCCCAATCAAAAAATAATTCTGAAAGTGTTGGATGTGATGCTTATTATGCAATTCCATTGTCTTTTCTTGTGGTTAAGTGTGGTATTTGATTATATAATCTTAATTAACTATTATGTTAATCTCATAAATTATTTTTATATTATATTAATGGTGGACTATAATCTTAGTTTTAAAGTAATGATGATGATGATTCAATGAGCTGTGAAATCAAAGCTGAATAAACCACAAGCTGTGGCCTGTAAAGTAATGATGATGATTATTCAATGAGCTGTGAAATCAAAGCTGAATAAACCACAAGCTGTGGCCTGTGTGTTGGCATCTTAGCAGTTCTCCAAGTGTTCAAAGTGATCGAGCCGCTGCATTTTTTTTAAAAATTTATCTTAGCCAGCTTCTTTAAACTAAAAGGTGCCCATATTAAATGGAGTATTTTTTTAATATTTATAAAAAAATTTTAAATTATTTGAATATTTCATATAACTTAGGATCATTTATAATATTAATTTTAAATTAAAACTATGAAGAAAAATATTTTTGTAAGCATATGATATCTATTCTTTGTCTTATTTAAAATTTGCAAAATGTTGGTGAGTAAAGATGAACAGCAAGCCAAGTTCTCATCATGGTTTTTTCCAATTCCAAGTATGAGTATGATGATCAAAGCAATAGATTGAGTAAAGACATGAAAAGGTGTTAAAATAGAAAAATACAACCTAACACTAGAAAGTGGAAAATCTAAGCAACAAGATTAGGGTTTGTTGCAGAAATTAAGGCTCTGCAAATAAACAAATGACAAGTTATATATAGGCATTGGAGCTGATATATAGTCGCTGAAAGATTTGTTTTTCAGTCAAAAAGAAAAGGATTTGATTTATCCATTAACAATGAACATTAGGTTGTTTGGAAGAAGGACAGCAGGAAGAAAAAAAATCATTGATTTCTTTCTTGTTTTTTATTTTATTGTTTTGACATAAAAGATGGCATCTGAAACTGAAGGAAAGTGATTCTCTCCTGAAGCTTCTTACAATAATTCTGATTCTTTGGATAGTAAACAAGCTAGCAGGATATAATTAATCTATACTTTCCAGGTTTGCACCTGAAGCTTTTAGCTGCTTCAATGGCTGTTTCTCCTGCTCCTCCTCTTCCTCGGCCTAACTCAATAAAAATATATAGAAAATATCTTCTTAGTTGGATAGTTGTTGAATTTAACACATTAATTAACACTTCCAAACAAACATCCAATAATGCAAATTGTACCAAATTTAATCACAATTACTAACTACTTAA